CCCCAAAACCCCAAAACCCCAAAACCCCGTGAGTATCCATGCTGAACTTGCAAAAATAAATCAAAATTATCAATATTTATAACTATAAATTTGCAATGGAAAGTAAATAATCGCACCTGAACTAAAGTAGTATGCAATTAAATCCTAATCTCAGCCCTTAAATATGCGAGATACTAGATACATTAAGTGTGAATAAAAGGTACAGCAAAATTGATTTCAATTCTGTTGAGCAATTTATATCTGAACTTGGTGAGTTCATTACTTTCTCGACTTTTGATGATAAGAAATTTACAGTAAGGTACTCATATGACTAAGGTGAGCAGAAGTTCCTAGAAAATGAAATATAAATTGTCAAATATCTCAAAGCCAAAAGAGCTGATTATAGTGATAAATGCCTGTATATATGCGTGGATTTTTGTTAGGGCAGGTCCTAGAAATAGTCATTTACAGCTCTAGTTTATCACTAAGGTGATTTTGAAGAGTTGAGAACTCTAGAATAATATGTTGAGGATATGTAAGGAGATAAAGATAGACTAAATGATTATGATTTGATAAGATTGATATCCTAGCTGGTAGATGCATTAAGTTTTCTTCAATAATACGGGATTCTGATTCACTCCCTGTCTTTAAGAGATATCTACATTAACATAAAGACATTAGATTTATCATTATCGAATCTGGGAATAATAAGCTCCATTATTGGCTGACCTTGGTTTCATTATAGCGATGAAACTCCATAAGGTATAGAGGTACTTAAAGATAATGAATACTATTTTCCTGAAATACTGTAACAATAAGAGGATGTTTACCTGTCTTTGAAAATTTAGACTTATGTTGAGAAGAAAGTTAAATGTGCTGTTATAAGTGGCTATAATGAATTCAGCTATTCTTTAGGAGTAGTTATTTATCAAATTCTTGCTTTTGACAATGTAATCGATAGTCAAGTAAATCTCAGACATGATCTTCCTTTAATTGGTAGAAAATACGAGTTATCCAGTGGTTTAATGAGACTCTGTAGAGAATTACTCTGTGAAAACTCTGGCTGAAGAATGAGCTTTATCACACTTAAAATGATTATGGAAGAGTTAGGGTCGGATATTATATAAACTAGTAATTTCCAGATGGCTAGACTTATAAATGAGAAGATTCAGCATGATATCGATCATTAAGTAGAATATGACGTTTATATTAAATAGACTTGTAATTACTTGGAAACAAAGGGGTCTGAACTTTTCATAGATTAAGATGACGAAGCTAACTAATTCCTAGCAAAGGGTCTTTGGAATACCAAACTAATGGTCAAATATTATCCGCTTAAGAACACATACAGGCTATTTAAAACTGTTTAAAAAATCCCTTAAGGATCAGAAACTGTGATGATTAATGAATTCCTTGCATTTGTCATGGGTGGATATGATTCATTCACTCCAAATGTGATAATAAATACAGTGTATTAATTCGAATTCCCCGATGAAGATTTTGAAAAGGATTATTAAATAGATTATGTTTATTAGCTAGATTAGAGATCTTCAATGATTGTGAAAAAGATTAACTATGCTCTTGTTTCTAACACTGATTTTATTTGTGTTCTTGGTGGCAAAATTCATGACAAGGATGATTAGCTTTTGATAACAGACTTATGTGAAATATACTCAATTAATAACGATTCATGGGGTATCCTACCCTCACTTAATGTGAAGAGGGCCAACGCTTGTGCTTGCATTTTCAATAACAAATACATCTATATATTTGGAGGAGAGTCCCTCGATTACCCAGGATTTCATGTTTATGAGTCGGTTGAGAGAATAGATTTGACATCAAAGCACTCTTAATGGGTAGAGTTAGATATTGGAAATATAGTTGGCGCTTGCTGGTTTTCTCCTAAATCCTAAGCCTTATAAGTAAATGAGACTTAAATATACATATTTGGAGGTATTAATACTCATGCTATGGACGGCGAAGTCGGAAAATCTTTGCTATTTACCGTGGACACTGAAAATGAATACGAATGCGAACTTAAGGAAAAGGACAGATATGAGAAAGCAGGTTTAAATATTTCAAATAACATTGTTTGTGACCAAGTCTGTAAAAGTGAGTATCAGATATTTGGTATTTCAAGTAATGCTATTCTAGATCTTAATACTCAGGGCCTTAAAAATATAGTCCAAATAGATATACATGATATTTTAAAAAGCTACAATTTTTGATTTTCTAGATTAATAAGTAAAATGCATAATTCTATTCTAAGGGGTTTTGGGGTTTTGGGG